TACAATACAACGGTAACTCCGAATAAAGTAAGCATTTTGATTCAACGTTTCGACTTTATTTAGTCATCATCAGGAATGGTTATATTACAAGTGCATGCGTTATATATACTCTACGTAATTTGATATATAATTAAAAGAAAACCGATAGCATCCAGAGAACTATCGGTTTTCTTTTAATTATATATCAAATTACCTAGAGTATATATAACGCATGCACTTGTAATATAACCATTCCTGATGATGACTAAATAAAGTCGAAACGTTGAATCAAAATGCTTACTTTATTCGGAGTTACCGTTGTATTATATTCAATTGCATATTGCCATAACCAAACCTGGGGTGTCGCTAGCCTTATTTTAATGGAGGGGGGGGGGGAGGGAAGGGGGGTAAGTAGAATTTTGCCAACTGAAGATGACTCAACCACTAAAAAATATTTCATTTCTCAAAAAATTTTTTGGACATTATCTTTTCGATTTTTTCACATACCATTACATTGTGGCACCAAGACCCCATAGGGTCTCTGTACCAAAACTAAATGTATACTACATATATTATAGATGATTATATTTTCACTTAGAACTGAAGTGCTACTCAATGAGCTACAGCTGGAAAGAAGAGAGCAAAAGTTGGACCTTGTCAAGAACAAGTATGGATCAAGCAAAGCATATCAACTTTACAACAAAGAAAATGAACCATACGATAGATATCTACCATTGGAGAAACCTTTCTCAAGTAAACTCAAATATGGTGACTTGAATGAAAATTTCACAAGAGCATTGACGAGGGCTGGATTAAAGACGACTGCTGCAGCATTGAATGCAGGTGGACCACACCCTAGAAAACTATCACACATGAGATAGCATATCTAGTGTTTGCCTAGTGTATAAAAGTTGAGTTGTGAGCAAAGTATGTGGATAAATAGTTTAACTAATGTGCTAATGTTGTAAATATAGTTAGCTTACTGAGATAACAATTAAAAGTAAATAATAGTTAAGATTATACATAAATATATAAACTAATAATAAAAATGCAGTTTTTATTTGACAACTTGGTGTTTTTCAATAATTTATCAATGCGTTTTAATGTAGGGTGACGGGTTACAACCAGATGTATGCAATTTATGTTAATAAGAAATATTTTAATCTATGCCAGTCAACTTAAGCAAATAATATATTTTCAAGACCTACTGTAGCACAATGGAAGTGCACTTTAATATAATTTCTTAATAAAATGCATGACCACTCAAGGCCGTTTTCCACTAGGCAGAATTTTCCGCGCAGAGTGGAATTTCTCTTTGTCTTTTCTAATTAGTTCCACCCAAGACAAAGAAAAATTCCACTCCACACGGAAAATTCCGCCTAGTGGAATACGGCCTTAAAGGCACAGTTCAGCCTGTTGAGCGATGGTTTTTAAGGCACATTTCAGCCCTGTTAATTGAAAAAACTAACTAGGAAAATCAATTAAGCATAATTCAAAATCAGTAACCTCGATGTTTTTAACAATATGAATGTTTTAAAATGTTAAAAACATTAAGATTGGTGATTTTGAATTATGCTTAATTGATTTTCCTAGTTAGTTTTTTCAATTAACAGGGCTGAAATGCGCCTTAAAAACCATCGTTCAACAGGCTGAACTGTGCCTTTAAGGCATACAGTTCATTTGATTAACTTGAAGTTTAATGTATTAACAGAATCCTGAACAAGCCATACTATTGAGTCCAAACCATAATTTCAGATATTGGGTGGGGTGTCAGCAAATTACATAATACACTACATCTTGTATAAATCCGTCATCACATAGTTCTAGTATCGATTAATTTCACGGACTCAACGCAATTTCCACTTAGCTTTTTCTTGTCGTTCAAAAATGGTCCCAGGTAATTCATCTCTTGACAACTTGTGGACTTCAGTTGGGTCTTCTTGTACCAAATCTAACTGCCTATCTTGTCGGCTTTCCAACGTACTTTCAGCTTGCTGTAGACTCCGTGATGATCTGATTCTAGTCTCAAACAGATACCCAATACTTCCAACGACAAATGCACATGGAAACACAATGTACGGTGCATATGCGCGCATGGTACTCAATATTAATGGCCACATTTTTATTTGTGATTTTTCCAATATTTGTCTTTAGTACATATCCAGTAAATGATCAAACACAGAAATAAACCATTAAGGATTTATTCAAAGGTATTTCCTTGAAATATATATTGTTTTTCCACCAATTTTCCAGCAAAAATGCAAGCCAATCGACTTTTATGTCTTCACGTTTAAAATAGAAGGGATGAGGAACTTCATGTAACATGAATATAATGGTTTAAAGTCACAACACAGCGAACCCTAAAATTTTATCACCAATGTTTACAATATGGCTGCCAAAATTCTTAGAATGCATTTCACCAAAGTTCATATTATTTAAAACATGTTACTCAAAGTCACTTATATTGAACTGAACTGTACAAAATATACATAGCATACACTCAATTTAAAATGGGTAAAGAAAATAGTAATTTAAAATTTATATACTTTTATACCAGCAACCATCAAAATACCATATTATAAATTACTACATTATTTTGACATATATAAAGCAGCTCAAGCAATACTTTTCCGCTGTAATACGTTATAAGGGTTATCAGTTGCCCGTACGAAATGGCTGATTTACCCATGTCTATTCTGTGACTTCTTTTTAGCAACATTTTAGCATAGTGGATACTCAATCCAGTTGGTTTTCAGGTCAGTGGGAGACAAGACCCATGCCCTTTGCGACAACGCGATGTTTAAATGTACAAATAAGCACGTGTGTTTGTTTTGGATACGCTCGCCTATTTCTAGCAGTGATTATAATACAGCTACATAGAATGGAAGAAGTGCACATAGTTGATAGCCCACTTGGCCACATAAGAATTACATACAACAACAAAGGAATAAAGGGTGTTAAATTTACAAAAGATCCGGACAAAACCTCAAGTGTAAATAATCCAAATAACGAGAACCTACAACTTGCAGTTAAATGGTTCGAGGCGTACTTCAGAGACCCAAATGAAACGAAATCCATGAAATTTCCAACCCTGGACATGGAAGCACACAACGGCAAAGCATTTATGTGCAAAGTTTGGAACGTCTTGAAAGATCGGATTGGTCCGGGACAGACTATAAGTTACGGGGAATTGGCCAAGTTATGCGGTAGTCCCAAAGCAGCTAGGGCAGTAGGACAAGCAATGAAGACTAACCCGTTCACGATATTTGTGCCTTGTCATCGTGTGATCAATGCCAGTGGTGAAATGGGAAACTATAGCAGTGGTGTGGATAAGAAACAATGGCTGTTGAAACACGAAGGAGAGGACTTCTCGACCCCCACTAAGTAACTGTATGATGTCATTGTTTGAGAACTGGATGACATCATTGTTTTGAGAGGATGACGTCATGAGAACACATATTGCTAAAATTAAGTTGCTTTTATCTTCAATAAGAACTCGATTAAGGAGTATTAAAACTGTCTGTCCGACTGTTTTTACATTAATGTCAGATTTGCTTGTATCATAGATAAACTAATTGCATAACCCAGTGTTTTATTGTTAACTTTTATACAACACAAACTAAAATAGAGTATTACCTATGATAAAGTATTCATATTATATCAATTTATGTTGTGTTGAAAAATTATCTGTCCAATGTCTACGCATTAAGAGTTAACTATGGGAAAGAAATTTTTCACTCTGCAAGTCTGAGCGAAAGTCGGACAAAGCCTTTTGTTTCGGATTTTTCGCATTCCGACGAACGAGTTCTTTACGTGAGAACCAAATTTTGCGCATTGCTAAAAACCCAGATCTTCTGCTTTCGATAATTTACGCTGTACATTTTGGCAATCGGCATTATTAACTAACGGCTGTTTGTTAACTAACGGATCAGTTGTTTGTGTTTTCCCACTGAACGCAGAATACCCGGAGAACTAAGCGAGCATTATTTACTGAAAGCGAATCCTGCAAGTTTCGAGTTTACTTTTTGCTTATCGAATGTTTTAACTTTTTTCGAAATGTTTTCTTTCTCTTCCAGGCTAGACTCAGATTTCCTCTCCTCACCTTCCTCCTCAAGTCTCTTTCTTTTTTTCTCACCTACTTCACTGTCATCCCCTTGTCCACTTTCCTTCACTTCATTTTTCACTGTACTTACATTACCTTTAGCAGTCTTTTCCCAAACCTGTTTTTCTTCCTTGGGTGTTTCACGCCATTGTTTCATCGCAAGCTTCATGATTTCACCGTCGGATAAATCTGGGTTCTCTTCTTGGAAAAGAGGTTTCATGTTCTCGAGCCAACAATGGAACGCATTTTTTCTGCAATAAGAGAAACACTGGTCATAAACCTGTTCATGAAGGTAAAAACAAAACAAAATACTAGCAGCCTCTCCGAATGACGACTTTCATTGGATCTATTTATAATTATTTATAATTTCATTGCGTCGTTTATAATAATCAACATTTTCACAAAGCATATAGATATATTTAGAGAGTACCCCAGGGCACTTTCCATTAACACGGCCAGACCGGTCAAATTGTTGAATGAAACACAAAACATTTGGGCTTCGGACCTATCTGACCGGAAAATTTAGATAACATTAGAATGAGGTCCATTTTCGCTAGATATTTGAGAAACATAGACCAGATCTTTCCATTGATACAGAGAAAAGAATTCGGGTCTCACCAGTCAGGCCATTAAATGGAAAGCGCCCCTATTTTCGGTCAGAGCGTATACTCTTAAATGCTGAATCTTAGGGATGATGATATAATGGGACTATAGTTCGGCGTTTTAAAACCATTTTCCGGCTCATGAAAATGGAGAATCCCTTGTATCAGTAAGACGAGAAAATTTTCCATGATCAGTGGTTGACACGAGTAACTTGTCCAGAATCCAGTTTAGACGAAGGTTTTTCTAGGCAGCTGTATACACGAGTACATCGAATCATCCTTGTTCTAGCAATCGGACGGGAAACAAGTCAGGTGTATTTGTTTCCCTCCATGACTTACTTTGGTTTACTTGGTTTGGCTTCGGTTTGCTTCTCCTCTGCTTTTTCCTGTTTTTTATCTTCTTTCTGTTTCTTCTTACTGAACAATGTCATCTGTTTACCTCCCTTGGACTTCTTTGTTTCAGAAGACGCTGGAAAAGAAATCATAAACAGTCCTTGAGAATGTTGGTGGTACACTAGTTGGTCCATTCCTTAACGGTCCAGTATTAACACCTCAATCTGTTTGAATAATGAACTCAGTATTCAATGGGACAATTCCACGAAAACAAAACCTGCACTTACGTGATTTTTCAGCAGCTTTTTTGGCTAGAATCTGCTTCTCTTTCTCAACATTTTCAAAGAATCCTCCATTGCCATGTGTTGTAGGTTTTTCTTTGGTTACTTTAAATGGATTGCTTCTCTGTGGTGTGTCCTGACTATACACCGGATCATAGCTGTGTCGTTTAGGCAGAGCACCGAGACTTGGCCTGGATGCGACGGCCGTTTTTGATTCAACAACTTCTGCACTGTTCTCTGTTTTAGCAATACAAAGTAATACTATGAAAACGTCGAAAAAAAGTGTTTCGACCAAATATCTTACAATATTTAAACTTATAACTTCAACTATAAACACTGAACAGTCCGTGCCAGTGTAGCTATTAAACTTTGGATTTTGGAATTATAAGGATGCAACTGTCTGAAATATACAAGGAGAACTTCGACGTTTCGAGCGAAGGCCCTTCGTCGGGGAGTTAGTAAGGAAGTCGGGAATTTTTCAAGTTGTTGTATCCCTATCAATCCGAAGCTTTCTTTATAAACATTGATTCCTACAGAATCAACGAAAACCAACAAGTGTTACCTTCAGCATCATCTTCAACATCTTCCTGTTGTCCTTCCTCCATATCTTCTTCCTCCTCATCATCTTGTGTTTCCATATTACCTTGAGTATTCTTCATTTTATTTCCTCGCCCAATACTCCTTGACCTGCCATGAGATCCATGTTCAACACTTTGTCTTGATTCCACAATATCATCTTCATATCCATTCTCAACTCCGTCCTCCTCTTGTTCGGCAGCTGCTTCCTCCTCTGCCTTACGTTGAGCAAGTTCATCAAGTCTTTGAGCTAAGTTCATACGGCGGTTCCGGGAAGCATACTTGATTGCTAAGCTTACCTGTATTGAAAGGCAATAAGGTTGTACACAGATATGATCCAGAGATGGATCCAGCATGACCTGGTGGGTCGGTCACATGCGCCGTCCACTTATCAACATACAGCAGTACTTGCTTGACTACTGGATTTTGAACTATAATTGTTGTTCACAGTTCGCTTATTATCATGTTATTACTCAAATTACTCTCTTTTTGTCTTTAGCTTTATCATGAAAAATAGCACCCCCTTGTACCCCCCCCCCCTCTGGCAAGGGGTAGGGGAGGGGGGTGAGTGAGTGCGTGAATCCATCCCTGATATGATCCCCAGTTAATCCATCCCTGATATGATCAGTTTTTTATAGTCGTTAAAAAAGTATCCTTACTCACCGAATAGGCATCAGGCAGGAGTTCACAAACTTCCATTGCTCTGAAATCACGGTCGGTTTTACATGACAACTAAAAAAAAAACAACCACAATTTGCTTTTTAAAGGCCGTTTTCGACTTCAAATCGTAGCACTTCTTTTGTGTCGAAGTTATTAGTTTCACTCTAGTGCTCATGGAACAAAGAAATACACTACGCTTATTTTGCCAGAGAACATATGCAATCGAAATAAATGGTGCCCTAACTTCATAATTGTGCCGTCACAATTTAGTGGTCGGAATGATCCGTTGTCTTCCCATTGTTTTGACAATCCCATGACTGCAACTATTCCGGATATCCAAAACTACGATAAATTGAACTTACGGCAAAAAGTTTCATAAGTAATTGTTTGATTTCAGTTTGACTTTGTTCATACAGGTTCTCCTCCAAAGGAATGCCTCGTTCTTTATCATACTCCAGTCTATTCATTAATAAACGTGATCGCAGGTGATTCTCCTAAATACAACAATTACAAAATTGTTCTCTTTCGAGTTGTGATATTTAACTATTTGTACATACTGTATTCGACTATTTAGACCGTGTGCCTTTCACCACTTCGACTGGGGTTTTAATCTTGTAATATGCAGTTTTTGTTTATAATTTGCAAAGTGTTTATTTAACTCTACCAAGCACCACAGGTTCTCTCCCGGTACTCCCGCTGTACCAACACCGGACAAATAAGAGATGATCCTTACTGTTCCATCTTCGGAACTGATAGTGCTACCCAGTATAAATAAAATTAGTCAAATTTAGTTTAGGTTTTCTCTTGTAGCAACAGTGGACCAACAAGAGAAGACCCTTATTTGACCACGAGGGAGGACGGTTTAGAACTGATAGAACTATCTAGTATAAATAAAGTTAGTCTAGTTTACCTCTAACTGTCCTTTCTCCGTGCCCACTTCACACACTGCCATTTGAAGCGGTAACGTACTCACGAGAGGACGGGGTAAGGTAGGAGGATAAGTCGACCCGGTACACAGAACACACCTAAAAAGAACTATTCGACAGAGATCTTCGAGGCCAGATTGAATGCAGCCGTACCTTGCCTTATGAAAGGTGTCGGGAGAATGACACCAAAAGGTCATACTGTACTTTATAAGAGGCCCAATTCGTGCACAAGTACTCGAGGCCCAACGAAAAATCTCATGGTATCTTGACGAGCCTCACCGCCTCTGATTATGCGGGAATGTCATAGTCAATTTCAATAACCAACCTGATTTGTTCTGACGTTTCTGTGAGACCAACAACCCAGTAGTTATCCGATGCTCGTTTCACCTACAACGAAACAAAGAAACTTAGCCAATTCCCTAGAACAAAAAAAACGCATCAGTGAGGCTGGATAGTCGAGACCTTAGGCACTGGTAAAAGAAGAATTACCTGAATTTTTGTGTTAGCTACAACGCTCCATGTATTGCCCAGGGAACGATTCAACAGACGAACGATACCAAGAGAGTCCACGGACGCCGGAGTCCCTTCCAGTGAAAATCTACACAAGCAACGATTTAAAAGCTCAAGCTTCTTCCTACTCTTAAATCTAATTGCAATTAGAACGTGGCAAAATAAATTTGCGAAGTTGGAGCATTCAAATATCGGCATTTTTGGTGTTCCAATATTTGAAACATTGGGTCAAGTGTAGGTGGTGGTCTACAATAAACTGCCGGGGTTCGTGAATTACATCAACGTTTTCTGCAAGAGTAAAGGCGTTTAAATCTCTAACGTGTATTCAGGCACAAACCATGGCGGCTAATTACTATTCTCTTACCCCAGCCACGAGAGATTTGCTTTAGGTGACAATGGTAACCTCTGGTCAGCAATAACTTGTGTACTGGTATCGAGATCAATAAGCTTGACAGCCAAACACTGGGATCCAGGCAGCCCCATCCCGTTATGATACACGGCAATTAACTGACTGCCATGGCCTGACATACAGACAACGGGACCAGGCAGAGAGACTAGTGCTGTTTGAAGACCACCGATTGTAAATATACGGAGCAAATCTTGATTGGTCACCACAGCAGCCCAGGTACTGCCCACAGCAACAGCCTGTACAAAATTGATGATATAGCAATAATGTGGCATTGGGACAGATCGACATTCATTTTATACCCGACAGCAAAATGCTATTCACCCGACACAATATCACTAATGCATAACCTAGCCCACCCCCAACCCTAACCTAGGGCCTTTGTTGTAACCATTTCGGACAGGAGGATAACTGAACTTGTACCTCCCGTGGTAGAATTCTTAAGTACGACCTTAATATGATCGCATAAGTACAGTATTCTAGCAAGATCATGTTAGGATCTTGTAAGGATCCTACGATCGGGTCGGATGAAACAGCGCCTACGTACTGTACAAAGTGCAATGTCAATTGGGAACCACTGCGATTAAAAGGTCCAGAAATAGCATTAGCAAATTACATCGTGTCTTACTAACCATAATATCTTCTCCTTGTGGCATTGAAACGCTCCATTCTTTTGAACGGTCCCATGTTCCAAAATGGAGACACAACAGCTTACTAAAGTTTAGAAGAAATAGTCAACAGTAATGCTTAGTGCAACAAATATATCAACAAAAAGGCACTGCATGATACAGAAAGCACACCATAATTTGAACACATACCTTGGTAATTCTTCACTAGCTTGACAAGCAAGCAATACAGCCGTGTCAGATAATGCTGCTATAGTATGGTTCATGTGATTGATGATATTCATAGAGTGATGTAGACTACTGTCATGAAACTCGATATCAATTGATGCTGGTTCTTCATCGGAATGACATCGTACAATGCCAATATTGTTCCAAACCTTGAATCAAATACAGTTTTAAACTTTTCAACCGTAAATCACTCGCACTTGTTCTACCCACATAGCGAAGCCGGTTGTAAGAAAACACTTAACTACTTTTTAATCACTATTTTGTAGTTAAATAGTTGATTGGCTAACTTTCGCACTAACTGTAGTTAACATTAATTATCTATACTTTTCTGATCTGGGTCTTTTCTAGAGTAAAATCCGTACAAATGAATCTCACCATAAACCTCTGCATAAGATGTACAGGTGTAGATCCAGGTTGAAATGGTTGTTGCTGTATAGTTAGTGGTTGTTGTATAACAACTGGTCTGATATTCGTTTCCGTTGTCTCACTCTTAGCATCATCTTGCAATGGATTATCTTCGGTATCCAGTCCCATTGGTCCTGCCAATTCTGCTTTGATTTTACCAAGATCTAAAAACATCATATCTGTACTATAGTACCATTTTAATTGACCACTTGCGTAATAGACTAAATTTTGATCTAGACAAAAATTTCATCACAGCTTGAAAGAGCATCACAAAATTAGTAATATTCCAAAGTTTCGTTGCGAAATGTCGTAAAATGCGGATAATATAGCCTTTCGAAATTTGCAATTTTCAGTCATTTTAGATTACAAACGGGAAATTACTATATGCTAAACGCTAATTTTTCCAGAGTTTAATATCGAATAAACTCATACGTTAATTTATGTAGACGTTCCAAAGTTCCGTCAGTAATTCAGCGTAATATCGTTGTTTCGTGTACAAATAGGGTTAGGATTATAAATCAAAGACTGTTTTGTCTGAGAATACTTCCGGCTAGTTACACAATGGGAAAACTGAAACTGTAAATTGGGAAAACTGACTTCCAGTCGTTATTCCAAGTTCGTATCAGAAATAGGGGCAAGGGTTTACTTTAGTTAAAAAGATACGACCAGTTATACAGTTAGGGTGTGCACCATTTGGTGAAGGTGAAATTCAAGGACTTTTCCAGGACTTTCAAGGCCCCTTTTCAGTAAATTCAAGAACCTAGAACTGGGAACAATCTTTAAAAATGGCACGGAAATAATTACTGTAACTTTATTCAGTAATTTTGATCAAAATCACTAATGTTGGCACAGCTTCTACTGATTTTTAAGGACTTTCCAGTTCTGGAATTTTTTTCCAGTTCAAGGACTTTCCAGGATTTTCAAAGCCCATGGACACGCTGTACAGTAAGCTTTACCTGTGGTATTCTCATCATCTTCATCACCACCTTGTTCTCCCACTTCACCATCATCATCATCAGCTTCATCATCAAACCAAGAATTCTTGACTCGACTTCGTTTCTTCACTCCTAACAGACTTCCTGTTTCACTTGCATCGTCTCCCAAGTCATCTGCCATCATATCTAACGGATCCATATTCTGAGCTTTCTGTTTCGACAAAATAATATAAATGCTAAACTAACTGTACTTACACTGCAGATAGCTCTATCAGTTCTACTATGAGCTGTTCTCTTATGTCCAGTATTACTACAGGAGTAAATGGGAATAAATTTGAGTCAAAGTACTCATCTCATTTCGTCATTTCCTAAGTCGTCCGCCGTCATATCCAACGAGTCCACGCTCTTAACTTTCTGTTCAGGCAAATTAATTTTGATATAATATTCTTGGTTTTTCTCTTGTTTGCAGACGAGTAAACGACTTCTAATAGTTAAGAATTTACAAACTGCAACGTTATGAGGAAAAGCGCAACGCCCTCAAATCCTCGATGTGATCCGATGCATACCGTTAAGAAGTTCTAAGAACTGACAGAGCTACGTATCCAATGAATGAAGCGGTTATACTGTAGCTTGCTCTAGTTTATATAAAAGCAAATGTTTTGAACACGCTGTATTGATTATCGTAGACAGCAATTACCTTCATTGCAGGAGCTGAATTAGTTGGTAAAACATCGCTACAAACACCCAGTTGACCCTAAACAGAAAAATTCACCAATTAATTCGCAGGTCCTGAGTTTTGCAGCAACTTGTATGAAAAATCAGAAACTCCAACTCACTTGGTTATCTGTGTAAGCTATTTCACCGTTCATTTTTGGATTCCACACAAGACATGTGATTGCTAGGGATTTATCATGTTGTGTCCTTGAAAAAAAAAGGATTGACTGATTGAAGTTATCAAAAACAACTGAAATACAGAAATTCTGCTTTGCGGTTAACATTACTGTACCTCTCAATGACTTGTTTAGTTTTAATAGACCAAATAAGTATCTCTCCATTGACACTTGCTGTTGCTAAATAATTTCCAGATGGCGACCACTTGGCAATAGAAATAGACTACATGGAAAAACTTTCAATTTAGAATCATGTAAAAAGTGTAAATATATACTTGTGAAATGAGTAGGTTACCTCTGAGCTACCATCACCATCTTTTAAACTAAAAATATTGTTCCAAGTGCCTCTTTCATATATCTGTACAAAAGAAAGCAAATGATCATCTCCAAAACCATCACCACTACAACCACCATCACTACCACCACCAGTGTGTAGTGTTCTAGCTGACCATGGTTTTAAATTCAAGGAATGTTTGTCAACCATTTGAAAAGGTACTTCTGGCATTTGAAAGGGAGTTCTGGCATTCGAAAAGGGAGGTCTGGTATTTGAAAAGGGAATTCTGGCATTTGAAAATGGGGTTCTGGCATTTGGAAAGGGAGTTTTTGGCATTTGAAAACTGAGTTTTGGCATTTGAAAAGGGAGGTCTGGCATTTCAAAACTGAGTTTTGGCATTTGAAAAGGGAGTTCTGGCATTTGAAAAGGTATACTTCTGGCATTTGAAAAGCGAGTTCTGGCATTTGAAAAGGGAGGTCTGCATTTGAAAACTGAGTTTTGGCATTTGTAAAGGGAGTTCTGGTTTTTTAAAAGGGAGTTCTGGCATTTGAAAAGGAAGTTCTGACATTTGAAAAGGGAGTTCTGGCATTTGAAAACGATGTTCTGGCATTTAAAAACGAATCTCTGATCACCACCACCCTACCACCATCATCATCAGAGGGAAGAATATCCAAATTGTAGATTGGATGGTACAGTACATGACAGATGTGTTATAGTGTCTGTGTTGGTAGAACAAGAAATAATTAAAATAACCTTGACTTCTTTATCAACTGGAACAGCCAAATATTTCTTTCCCTTGGGTTGAAATGCAAGTCGACAGAGACTTTTGGATGTGCTAAATACATGAAAAATACAAAACAATTATGCTATGCTTTACTACATGGAGTACATAATAATGTACCATACTCAACCATACTTATAATAAACAAGTAAGCACCTTATATCATTATTCTTGGGAAGCAAGTTCAGAGACTTCAAACATTTCTAGAAATGTACCGACAAAAATGTTGTGATCTATAGAGTCATAAGTAAATTAAGTACCATACAAGATTTTTTACAAATTTTATAGTAAGTCTTTAGATTCACCTGTTCTTTCCAATCCCAAACTTTTACTGTGCCATCACAACTGGAAGATGCCTTTCAAATGAAAATTAATAAATCCTAAGGCAAGCATGGTTCACATTTGTTGCGAGATATATTTACAGTACCGTAAATGGCAAGTTTTCAATTAATTTTAACAACCTGTAAACAATTTCCTTCACAAATGCTTTGGTATCATCGTAAATGAACTACAATAGTCCTGGTAAGATTTGAGCAAGAAATCAATAAGTAATATACAGAATGACATAGTTACCAAGAATTCTTCATCAGGATCTAATGTCACACTTAAAATTGGTGCTTCGTGTCCTTTTAGAGATTTATGGCTGCTATCGCTCACTTGAACCACTTTGATATTAAAATCACTACAGTAAGAAAAAATGTAAATATTAATCAATTGAATGGGAGCATACTGTAGACAGGTTGAAATAGTGAAGTACGGAACTTTGTCACTTAAAGGGTCAACAGGATGCAGTCTGATTAACCCATTGAGTGGCTGCACTCTCCCCTTGACAATTAAAATCATCTGACATTAGTCGGCTAGACTAAAATGATAAAATGGGTACATAACCACTGAATGGCCAAAGGAATCAAAACTGTTCTCCCAATAGATTCCTGAACACAATTAGCACATTCACCTGGCACCCGCAGCTAAATACTTTCCAGATTGACTGTAACAGATGGAGTTGATTGAAGCAGTAAACCTTGTTATCATGCCATCTGGAGAACCCTAAGAAAAATGGAAGTATTTATCAACCTCTTAATGCTGGCTGTAATTTAGCAAATTCTTGAGAATGTAGAAACAGTTATTGAATTAAAGCACATACATTTGGGAATGTGTAAATCTGCACAGCATTATCTGCTCCAGTTACTATCCTCTCATTCTAAAAAAGAAACATAGAGCTTGACAACTATCTCTCTGTAGCTCAGAGCACTGCACGAGAATTGCAGGGCTACTGGTTCGATTCCTGCCAGAGGGCCTCGAATTGTATAAAATTTCCCCTTGAATTTCCAACTACAAAATCATTATTAAATCTACACTGCTGTATTGCTAGTCAGATGACAACAACACTTTTAAAATAACTGGCACAAATCGTTTACACATAATTGTTAAAACTCTCCATTGAATTGAGGTGCATCTCTTGAATGTATCGGTCTCTGAGCCATATAGCCAGCAAATGTACCTTGAACGTGACAGCAGTTACGTTTTCACCAGCTCTGAATGATTCAGGATCGTCATCGTCAAATCCATCGTAGATACGAACATCACCATCAGAACCACATGTTACTAAGTATCTAGATAAAAACAGTTCTTAAGAATTATAAACATTGGGATATTTCAAACTGTCAGTAATAGATTATAGAAACATGTCTGTAAAGAGGCTTTTAATACTGTCCTCAGTCATAAATAGGTTTTGTCCACAAATATGCAGATTTGTTCTGTTTCATAGCAGAAAGAGAAACATCTGGGACAAATACTGCTTTATCTCTTTGAAAAAAACCTGGTTGGCAATGAGAAAGGATATTAATTTAAAGATTAATTAAGAAAGGTTGAGTTTAAAGTTTAGGACGAAATCTATTTGTTGACAGCCCCTAAAAGTTATATAATTTTATATGTAATTGAAAAGTCTACACAACTTTTTTTGCAGTACAATAAATCTTCCAGCAAACAGTTATAAATTAAGTTATTTAATTAGCCGTGATAAATCAAAATAGAAGCTTTAAACCTTACAAATTATAAACATTTTTATATTGTTTATAGCCGAATAAAAACATGTACTATATATTTAAATTTTCAACAATAAAAAGCTGCTAACCTGCCATTATCGTCATAGCAAACATCAGTATGTCCTTCGCTGTGTGCATAGCGCATTGGTTTCAAATCCACGGGCATTTTAAAATAATATTTTAACAAAATTTACACAAAGATTTCAAGTTTAATTCCTTCCCTTCCGAAGTTTCCCGCCAAACTCCCGCCACAAATTTCCTACGTGTTTCCATATTAGAATACAAAACTTCCTTTTCCTGTTGCTAAATTTCCCAATATTTTCCGAGTCCGATATTGACGGTTTAGAAACGAATTTTATTAAATTCAGTTTAGAATTGAATGCTAAATTGGGTTGTTACTTGTTAATATAGCAAGTGCCCTAATTTGCGAGTACTTTATATAAGCATGGTGATTACTGTTTCAATGTCAAACGTATTTACATGGAGCGCGCAAATTATGCTAAACCGGGGCTTACAAACAGATGTATTTACCACCAGACACAAGGACAATATATTCTTTTCTTTTGGAGTTAACCATACACTATTCCACAATGATGAAACCCACTTATTATAAGCTGATACAATAATAAAATATAGAAACCATGAGTTACAAAATATATTAGTTTTTATAAACAATATTACGTTCTTTTCATAACATTTCAAATATATTAAAATGAAACTATATTAGTGTTTCTAATATATTTTTACAAATCTTGATATAAAACTATATTACAATCTCTTGAATTTCTAAAATAAGTTTGCATCAAGTACTTGTCCATCCCGCCTCTGAATAAGCCAATTAGAACTTGGTCTTCAGCAGTTCCCTGGGACGAAATAACGAAGACGCTTCGGTTTGGATCTTACATGTACCCTATATGCAACAGAATTAACCATTATTAACGAGCAATTTTGTACCATTATGAAATTACAGCACTATAATTTTTATCTATAATCATGATGTGAATATGTGCCGATGGGGTTGTGAATCTATTTCTATGCACCCCAATCTGGAAGACCATGAATTTCGATAACTGATGAGTTGAGCTGTTGTTGACTGTCTCTTTTCACATGAACATTGTGACTCTGGGATGAGAATTGAACCTATGGTCTCAAAAGCGAAAGGCATGACTGCACCACCGAAGTCCCAGGCCTATGAGAAGATCATGAGTGAAATCAAGATGGCGGAATTCACGTCCAACATCTATGAAGATCGTAAACAGATCAAGTTATCAGTTCATAAAAGCAGATTCGTTATTAAGGTGGCTCGATATAGTTATCACAAAAAGCCTGCTCAAGAATAGCGAACTCAAAACCGGGTGACCATTTTTACGCGCAGGTCGCGGAAACTGATTAACAAAATGAAAGAAAAAACAAACAAAACCTATTAATTGTTTTTGTTTGTGGAAACACCACGTAAATTTATTACTGCAAAGCTTTCGATCCGTAAGCCCGGATCTTCATCAGTGCTAATAACATAGATTATAGATCATACCAGATGTCTCACTGTGTATCTATCTCTATGATTTTCGTGTCCGCGATTTTCGCAAGGCTATCACGCCAGATGACGCGTGCGACACTTACTGCCAAAATGGCGCTTACTGCCAAAAGGCGTGATTGCTCACGTTTCATGGCGTGGATTACACTTACTGCCAAAATGGCGGCCAATTCGTGCTCATAAAAAATCGCGGACACAATTTTGGCTGAGTGAGACATCTGGTATGATCTACAATCTATGCTAATAACACAGAATAGAAAATAAGACCAGAAGCCTCACTCAGCCAAAATTATGTCCGAGATTTTTTATGCGCAGGCGCGAGCCAGCAAGTGTAATCCACGCCATAAAACGCGAGCAATTACGCCATCAATTGCCATTACCAGGTAATAAAGATTGCTGTTTTAACCGTTTTGCTGACGAACGCTGACGTGATGTTCGCAGCAAGTGTCACACACGTCATCTAGCGTGCGAAATTCGTGATCCGCAAGGCGAAAATCGCGGACACGAAAATGTTAAGGAAAGGTGTACAGTGAGACTTCTGGTCGATTATATATTCTATGCTAATAATGTGACTTGTTTAATTCACACGCTCCTTTTATATACAAGAGTGTCGTGATCTGTTGGCTCGCGTCATTTGAAATTTAATTAAATGAAATTTTAATTTAACCGTCGCACAGCATGGTTTTCTGAGAGGAAAGTCTTGCACAGGTCAGCTCATTTCCGTTCTTCACCGCATCAGCCAAAACCTGGATTCAGGGAAACAAACAGATATCTTGTATTTCGATGTTGCTAAAGCGTTTGACACGGTGAATCATAGCCTTCTTTTAAAGAAACTCCAACGATTTGGACTTAGGGACAATATTTTAACGTGGTTTAAAAGTTATTTATCCGGACGACAACAGCGTGTACTAGTCAATGGTGAGATTTCAGAGACACGTCCAGTTTCCTCCGGCGTTCCGCAAGGATCAATACTCGGACCACTCCTGTTTCTCATCTACATAAACGACCTTCCCGAATCAATACCCTCATCCGCTGTTGACGTTTCCTTGTTTGCCGACGACACAAAATGCATCTCAGTTATTGAATCACCGGTTGACGCCTGTGTCCTTCAAGCTGAAGCGAGAAACGTGGAGAAATGGGCTGAGTTTTGGAGGCTCAAATTCAACGCCGAAAAATGCAAAGTTCTGAGCGTTACGAGAAAACGTCATCCTCTTGTTGCTGAATACATTGTCAACGGTAAAACTTTGCAGCATGTTTCCTCCCAGAAAGACCTCGGAGTGACGGTTTGTTCAGATCTCAGATGGAACACTCATATTTACGAGCAAGTTACGAAAGCCAACCGCCTACTTGGTATGCTCAAACGTTCGACTATCAAAGTTAAAAACGTAAATACCCGACGCTGTCTCTACCTTACACTTGTGAGATCCCATCTTGCTTATGCCTCACAAGTGTGGTGTCCACAGACTATCACCATGTGTATGGAGCTCGAACGCATACAACGTAGAGCGACCAAATTCGTACTGTCTTTACCATTCCAAACGGACATGCCATATAAAACGAGACTCGCTGCGTTAAATATGCTACCTCTCTGTTACTGGCACGAATATCTTGATATCCTGTTCCTCTTCAAATGCAAATATGGCTTGGTTAAAACTGATATCCTACCCGAAGAAGTTGACACTCTGACTTCAACCATAAATCTACGCTCTTCTAATAACTCTCTTGTAAAATATAACATTCCTAAAGTAAGAACGCTATGTCACCAGAACAGTTATCTTGTACGAGTATCGCGTGTGTGGAACTGCCTACCAGATGAGCTACGGAAACCAGAACTATCATTGCAGAGCTTTAAATCACGTGTTATAAACTATTACCACTCCGCAACATTAACCGTGTTTGACCAGGAAAATCCGCAGACGTGGAAATCAGTTTGTCTGAAATGCCATAAAGCCAGGCAGCTTACTGCAACAATGAAATGTTGTTCTTAATTGAACTAGTTATTTTGGCAATTATTCAATGTAGTATACCTCATTTTATCCGATGTAGAGTTGGGTTTTTCGCCATTTTCGTTTTATCTTATCGACGGGTACAGAACCTATATATATTCTCGCATTTATTCTGTTTGACAATTTTGTCATTTTGTTTTACCAAATTTTGAAATTTTTTACGCTGTCTCTCTACTTCGGATAAAAAGGATTATACTATATTCTTGTTTGATATTTAAATTATAAGTTGTGAAGTTTTGTATAATGATGTTTTGTAACAGGTCACTAACGTAATTGGCTCACGCTGTGTTAGTGTTCCTGAACCGTCTTCCTGTTTGCATATGTATATTTCTGTTGACGGCTGAAGTTAATAAATCGATTAAATCGAAATCGATTAAACGGCACATCAACCACGTCATTTCCAACGTAATGAAGTGATTCCAATTAACGCGCGCGCATCCAAGACAAGAGAAATTAATTTTGCACATTAAAGAGAGCACGCCACGTACTATCTAGTGGCTTTCCCTCCTGATCTATAAAAACCTATTAAAATGAAAGAACTTCCAAAATGACCTGACGTGAGCAGTTGCTCGCGTCATATCACGCCATTGCGCGTGTTCTATAGCGTCTTATGGTTTTATGTCAATTGCTGACGTCATTAGAATTTTCCATTTTAGGAAAAAATGCGCTATATCTCTTTATTTTGTCTGGTGACCTATGTTCAAATTTTGCATGCTGTATTGCACCGCTAAAAACTTTCATTATACAAAAAATAAAAAATTCTGTAAGGGACTGGTCATAAAGTAACTGCTAGGGTGGGCTGGAGGAAAATCACAAATTTTGCCAATAAGTTCGGTGACCCATCTTAGGATGTAGATAAAAATTTCAAAGCCCATCTAATCTTACAAAAAAAATTTCATGACCCACCCAATCTAAATTGGGAAAATACACTTTTATAATAAAAAAACTTGCGGGTATGAACATTGTAAATATACACGTCACTGTATTGACATACTCATAATTCCACCAAGCTTGACCAACACATTGATACTGAGCTGCTCTCCAGTTGGTTGTATTTGCTGTGATTCGACCATGCCACTTGTTGTTGTTGTATAAACAAAGTACTGGCTTCAATAGCATCATTTGCATTTGATAATTTGGATAGTTTTGTTTATTTTTATTGTTAATATCTTTATTTTCTGAAGTAGACGTGTATGGGTTTTTGTTTGGTGGCCCAACCGTGGACATACAAACAAATTGGCGGCCCATCGAAACTGCCCAAAGATTTTCCATGGCCCATCCCAAATCACTCCAGCCCACCCTAGCAGTTACTTTATGACCGGTCCCTAACGCCAAAAAAATTTTACCGAAGAATATGACATTTTCCAAAAAAATGGCATTACAGAATTTTTTAAATATTTTGCTAATTGTTAGCTTTTCGTCCAAGTAAAACAATGCACGAAAAAAAATTAGGGTCACCATGCTTTTTTTCCAACTATACGAGTGAATTGGCATGGAGTGAATTTCGTACACGTATGTCGTCATAGCAACGAACTATCTGTTTAAAACTAATATAATTTGAAAGTAGAGTTATCAAAATATATAAAAACCCAATATCTGCTGAATAAGCATACAGCATGCGTTTTGCTTGACGAATCTCGTACTCGTAGTCGCTGCTAAAGTTCCCTATACTATATATGCAGGGCCATGTAGTATATGATCACACGATGAACTTTGAAACCTGAGCAAGTCATACGAGTCCAAGACTGCATATTAATAGGAACTGCGAAAACTTTGAGCTAGACCTTGACCACTCAAGACCGGCCAGCTGGGATAAGTTTCTGAGCGCACATCATTTACTTTTCCATAATTTATGAAGAATTTTCCATTTCAATACCAATTAAATGAATTACATGCAAATCATCTCTTTTCGATTCCCTTTGACAAGTACCCTAATCCTGAACTGCAATATAAAACCTAAACGGGTTTGCCTGTGGTTAATTTATCTACATTTCCAACAACTAACTTGAATTATGGGCCTGAGCTAGACCTTGCATGACCACTCAAGACCGGCCAGCTGGGATAAGCGTCTGAGCGCACATCATTTACTTTTCCACAATTTATGAAGAATTTTCCATATCAATACCAATTAAAGTAATTACATGCAAATCATCTCTTTTCGATTCCCTTTGACAAGTACCCTAATCCTGAACTGCAATATAAAAACTAAACGGGGTTTGCCTGTGGTTAATTTATCTACATCTCCAACAACTAACTTGAATTATGGGCCTGAGCTAGACCTTGCATGACCACTCAAGACCGGCCAGCTGGGATAAGCGTCTGAGCGCACATCATTTATTTTCCATAATTTATGAAGAATTTTCCATATCAATACCAATTAAATTAATTACATGCAAATCATCTCTTTTCGATTCCCTTTGACAAGTACCCTAATCCTGAACTGCAATATAAAAACTAAACGGGGTTTGCCTGTGGTTAATTTATCTACATTTCCAACAACTAACTTGAATTATGGGCCTGAGCTAGACCTTGCATGACCACTCAAGACCGGCCAGCTGGGATAAGCGTCTGAGCGCACATCATTTACTTTTCCATAATTTATGAAGAATTTTCCATATCAATACCAATTAAATTAATTACATGCAAATCATCTCTTTTCGATTCCCTTTGACAAGTACCCTAATCCTGAACTGCAATATAAAAACTAAACGGGGTTTGCCTGTGGTTAATTTATCTACATTTCCAACAACTAACTTGAATTATGGGCCTGAGCTATAGACCTTGACTACTCTATGTCGGCCAGCTGGGATAAGCTTCTGAGCGCACATCATTTACTTTTCCATAGACTTGGGGAGCAGGGGGGAGGGGGTGGGTTCGCTTAATCGTTTGTGTCAAATAAGCAAGATCTCTCATTGGTTAGTACATGTACAGCTGTTGATTGTTGATTTGACGTCTATATAGGTTTAATTAGTTTATGGCAGTATTCGACGTTTCGGCAACCACGTATAAAACGAAATTAAGGACATCACGAAATCCCCAAATTAATGAAACACGAAGAAGCCAATAATTTACACAGTTTTATTACTTGTATATTTTCTGACAGATACGTCCTTAAATTTCAAAAACACAATCCAGTTCACAAGTTGGAAACCAAAAATGGTAAGTGCAAGTTTTAGTATCTGCATCAATTCGTGCTCGAATATCATCACATTTACAGCAGGACTTAATTATATTAGATATTATGGCGTTTTGGCGTTCTCTTCAGGGTACAGGTATCGTAACAGACGAAATTTTGCCGCCACTCAAACATCAAGGTGTAGAAGGTCGAGTACGATACTTAGTTCTACTTCATCCTATACATGATACAAATCATAAAGACGGAAATGTAGGCTAACTAATAATGAAAAAAAGAAAAAAGAAGACTATTTTCGTATTGCTCAGCAAGATAATAGGGACACATCGCATTTAATCACAAGCGCGCACAACGAAGACGAACGTAGATAAGGTACAAAAGGAACGACTTCACAACTCTGAAACAACTATAAAATTTAGAACGTAGTCACAAGAGTATCATCGTTCCTTCAGAAGTAAATCCCTCAGAACGAACAATTAGAACTTGATCAACATTTCTATCAAACGTGCTCTTCGACATTCGAAACCAAGGAATTTAAATAGACAAAGACAGCATTTTCGCGTTTTAGGTGAGATTGAGAAACTACAACATGTACAAAACACAGCCGCTAGAATTGTGACAAGGTCAAACAGAAGACAGCATATTATACTCCCATTTTGAAAGAACTTCATTGGCTGCCTATACAAAGCCGTATCCAATTTAAACTTGGGTTAATAATATTTAAAGCTTTAAATAATTTGGCTCCATCTTATCTTCAAGACCTTCTGAAAATACATCAGCCTTCGCTGTGTTTAAGATCTGCTTCTAAAAATTTGCTTCAAGAACCAAGGTCAATCACGAAAACATAGATAGAACATTTAGGAAGGCTGGATCGGCGTTTTGGAATAGCCTGCCTGATGAATTGAGACTAGAGACATCTGTTGATATTTTTAAAAATAAACTTAAGACTCTTCTTTTTAACCAAGCTTACAGTTAGTTCTTAGTATTCGCAAATTTTTAACTACATAATCTAATATACTGTATTAATAAGTAATACCATTGTAATGAGCATTGAGAAATTTTTGTAAATGCGCACTGAAGAATTCAATTATGCCCCAACTATGTATCTATCGCCCCAACTATGTATAAAATAGATTCGTAGCACAAACTAACTGATATACAGTTAAACAATTTATCTGTATAATGTCTGAAGAATAAAGGGAGCTAGTTATGTTCGGAGTTAAGAAAAATGCTGTTTCCAGAGGGGTTAAAGCTTGAAAATTCAATTCAACAATTAACACATGTTTGTCATAGGTTTAGTTGCAACAATTAACACATGTTTGTCATAGGTTTAGCTCTTTCAGCAAGTTGGAGCAAAGTTTGGAATAGGATTCATATTGATTTCACAGTCGAGAATTCTCTAAAATATCAAATTTGTTTCCTCGTGCTCGTGGTTTAAACCACAACCCAACCACGCGCATTGAATCATGGGGCATGCCGGAAGTGCGAATACGAAAGAATTTTGATTTTTAAATTCATTGAGAATGCAGGTGTTGTGAAAATGCGAAATTGATGTTGAAAATACAAACATTGATGATGTTGAAATTGCGAACATTGATGTTGAAAATGCGAACATGGATTTTGGCGGAGATTTGACGCCATGCTATCCGCCAAAATTCAAGTTAGTAATGAAAATACACAAACGTCGATGTTGAAAATGCGAACATTGACGTTGAAAATGCGAAGAAAGATGTTGAAAATGCGAACATTGATGTTGAAAATACAAACATTAATGTTGAAAATACGAACATAAATTTTGGTGGAAATTTGACGCCATATTCAAAGTCCATATATAATTATGGGCTTCTCTTTTAATACTAGCCTGCTTGCCGCCTGGAATTTCCAAGGGGGGATAGCTATTTTAAATAATAGTGAAATAAAAGTGCTAATATTGAATATTTTAACTCGCCCCCATTGAGATGTAGGAGTATCTTCCTGGAATCAACAGAGATTCACTAAGAAAACGAAACATGTTGAACAAAGATAATATATATATATATATATATAGGTCAATTTATGGTCAATTTATTTTTTATTTTTTTTTATATTAGGTCAATTTATCTGAAGAGTGCCACATACTGTGGTACGAAACTATTTAGTAATAAAGATGCCTAGTGGATTTTGTTGATTTGTTGTACCTTAATTTATTTATTTATTTTTATATATATATGTGAAGCCTATAATTTGATAGCGAAACTACAGCCATGCAAACAATATATTCACATGACCTTATACACATGAAAATATAGTCACATGACCACAACCAATCTTTGTTTCTTCTCCAATTAAACGAGACGACTACATCGATATTTCGCACAATTTACAAAAATTTTAATATTTTGTTGTGCATTAAATCAATGGTTTTTTTAAGAGATAAATATTCTAATGGTTATAAAAGGTTCGTCTCATCAAACCTTTTAAATATTTATGTGTTGTTATACGTATATAAAGACTTGTTATACCATTTTGAATTGGCTACTAAAACATATAGATCTTTAGTCTATCTCTAGGTTGACACGCAGTATACAACACTATACCATAAACATTTTGAGCGAAGCTTTATTCTGCCAACAAAACGCAACTGAAGCGACACACCAACCTCGTACCCAGGCTATTTTCTCTCACACTCTGGTGCCACACCAGTGACTTTAACTGAAGACACAGCATATTAAAAAAATCGGAAAAAATGTCACGGCTTCAACGACTTAAGGTGCTCTCAAAAAATACATACTCAGCAACTCCATATAACATGTAACCAAAAAGATATAACCTGTTGAAGTGGCTTGTCAAGGCTGTGCACAAACTAATGTTGAAGCGTCTATTGCTTACTAACTATTTATTAACTTTACAATCATACAAAATTATAACACTGATTGAAGGTATGGTCAACAGGACATGAGTCCCATGTGAAGACCAACCTGAAATACACTAGACTAACGAAATATACGCAAGGAGAAAACTTTGCTATATAGAAATTATATACTGTATATACAATAACATGCATTACTAACATGGGGGCTTAAAAATTCTTCACCGAAATATAATTTATATAATACCTAACATTTAACAACGTGACTATATTATTGGTATACTTATATATAGTATCCACATTTATATGCATTCTACTGAAATCTAACCAACGCCCTGGACATACCTAAAAAATGAAATGCTTAAATTTATCCTTTTGCAGAATGCAGATACGAGTGACCAGAACCCAAGCACACAACAAAGTGACCCATCACGGGAAACAAAAGGCAACGAGGAGGCACCACAGGAAGAAAGGATTCGAATCACTACAACACATTTTGCGTTAGATTTTATGAAAGGCTTGGAGATAGGAAAAATATCCGAGAAACTAGATCACTTGAGCGAAGAAAACAAAAAACTTCGTGAAAAGCTGAAGAAGTTCAAAGAAGATAATGCAGCCTTGAATCAGACAATTGGAAGTCTACAGGATCGCAACCAGAAACAAGAGGAAACAATTCGTGATTTGGAATCTTTCCAAGAGAAGTTACAGAAAGACCTCGAAAACGTAAAGAAAGAAAAAGAACAACTGCGAATTGAGTTCAGCGAAAAGAATGAGACTCTCACCGAGCAATTGGAAGCCCTGACGAAAGATTTTGAGGCAGTCGAGAACGAAAACAAAGAATTAAAACGCAGTTTGGAGGAGCTCACAACCAGCAATAATTCCTTGAAGCAGGATATCAATTCGATCAAAAAAGAAATGGGAAATTTGAAGGCGGGACACAAGAAAATTTGTGAGAAGCTCGAGTGCAAGGAGGCAAGGCTTGCTCTTGGTCAGATCGCATGGCTTCTGGAAGCAGAGATTTGGAAAGCTGTTCTACCGGACAAAACAATGGGAAAAACTGGTATCCTTTTCTCCATGAAACGCTGGCTGAAGAAGAATACCTCGAGCCCTGAAGTAATAGCAGCGCAAAAGAGATGGGACGACCTAAAACGCACACTAAAATGGGATGAAGACGATCATACTGACGCCTTGAAATGTCTTAAAGAGCTCAGAAAGGAGGACGCGCATCCAGAAAACGTCGATCTCGAAGTGGCAAGAAAACAGCTGATCGAGGGTAATCATGTCGCCGAAATGGATAAGAAAACTTGCGAGGATATCATTGATATGATAGTAACCGCGAGAGAGTTGAACAATTCAAAGTAATGAGTATAGCCTGTGAACTTGACAGTTATTTAAGTTCAAAGGAACACATCTTTATAAACTATTAATTGAATAAGCTATAACCAAGTTCTATGCATTTTGAAATGAACAATTATATAATACATAATCAACCTTTATATAAGGTTTTAAAGCAAATAGCTACACGAAAATAGTTAAACACTACGAAAGAACATTTTTAATTAAAAGCTTTTGAAGCACTATAACGTAAGCAAATTCAGCCAATTTAAAACTAACAAAAAAATTTTCAAACTGTATGCAGGAATATTAAATAAAATGCAAGAGATACCAATCACGTTTAATTGAGATAGGTATGGGTAATGAGTTGCACAGTTGAAGTAGATGCCTTTGAAACTTTAATGGAATTGACCTTTTCATTGAAATTGACTACATCATTTTCGGAAAGTTGGACCCCTTTAAAACTCTCCCCTTTTACTGTTTTAAAATTGAAACATACAAACATAAATACTGTACAAACTTACTTGATTGATGATTTTGTTCAAATGCTACCTCTTACTTGTGGGCTGTGAACGAATTACTTTTGTAGTTGGTTTGTTACTGCCTGGAATGCTTAAAAAAGAAAACATATTTAAAATGCTGTAAAACTTTATTATCATTATATTATCACCACCAACAATATCACATTAGCACTACCTGTCTACCAATATTACCATCATCATCCCTCCACCACAATTCTCCCCATCACCACCAGCATCTATATGAACACCACCACACCACCATCACATTTATCTATATATTTATTTATCTATTTATCTTTTTACAGTAATTAATAGAAATTATAATATAGCATTTGTAAATTCTGAACGCTGATTGGCTAAGAGCCGTGTTGATATAACTCAATGTCAACACGGAAAATTTCTTTCTATATAATTCTTCATGCTATATTATAAAAAATATAAAACATTTTTCCCGTGTTGATATACAGTTATATACCAACACTCGTGGAAATTGGGAAAACAAACAACAAGAAAAATGTTTTATATTTGTTAAATATAACGCAGATACTGTACACAAACAACTGACACATGGTCACAGCAACAGCTTGCGCCAATTACTGTGGTCCCTACTTTACCAAACGTTTTAACATATTGTGATGTTGACAAACATACAAGTATACACTGGTAGGTTAAACTGTTAGAAACGAACACGTTATTGACGTGTTAAATCTATAGGGCTTTGTTGCATGTCATGCATACCGACTCCATCGTAAATTTTTACTGCAAAACAATAGTACTGAAAAGAGTCCTTTTCTGATATCCGTAAAAGTAATTTGTGCTTTACTGTAGTTAGATGTCTACGTTTCAAAATAAAAACGACTGATTGTATGAATAAACTGATGTTTTGCATTTTATTGTTTGAACTTGTGAACAATTTGAATCGTTGGGTCTTGTAACACGGTTGACATTACTTCATACTGAATTACCTGTGTGATTTTTTACTGGTAGTTGATTTATGTGTCATACTACTGTGTGAAATTTTAACAGTCACCAAGCTTGGTCCACTTGTCACTTTCTTAGAACTTGTTCTCGTGGAATTCTCAGAAAGATAACTACAGGATGCGAGGTCAGGTAGAGCTGACGTCATCGACGACATTTTTGTCAGTCCAGAGTTTGTGGACTGTACATGTAGATTTTTACTGCCAGATGATTTGCTACCACTGCTTTTACCTTAGAGAGGAAAAATTCTAAATAGTTATGCATTCCATAGGCGGAGGGCAAATATCTATGTGTATGTCTACAGTAAACTACCAGATTGCAATGTACGTTGCCCACGAGGTCCTTGTGTAACTTCTACGGTTCTTGGTGGTACAGTGCAGCCAGTTCTCGTCGGCAAAAAAATGCCGTGATATTTCAGAATTAAAATACTGTCATTTTCATTCAAGCTTGAAGGGTGCACAAAAATCTTCGTAGGCAAAAAATTGCTGTCGATAATTTCATTTTCGGCGGCGCATTATTGGTGGCAATAGCCGAGGACTGGCAACTGTCTCTCGTCTGGACTGTGGTTTTATTTATAATTTCTTCTCTCAGTCAGATGTGACAAGAGTGCTTCCAGTGAGTATAACTCTACCAAACACCGTGGGTTTTCTCTTGGTACTTCAGATTCCTCCTGTGTCAACACTGGACCAATACAAAGGGGTGGCCTTTACTGTACCTCTTGGGAGAACAGTTTAAAACTGATTGAGCTTTCTGGTATAAATGAAGTTAATTTAGTTTAGATAATTTATACATTATGTATTATACATACCTTCCTTACTCGTCGTTTTCTTCAATTCTTGTTTTCCATGGCCATACTTTTTGCCGTTTACTGCAAAGGAAAAGATTCAATCGTCACACATTAAGAACTTATCGTAACCCGATTATTAAGGCCCGTTTTATACGTCGAATTTCGGTCGCGTCGAATGCAATTCAAACGATAGATAATGAAGCTTATTGAGGTTTATCATCTCATTATCTTTGTCTTAATTGCATTCGATGCGACCAAAATTCGACGTATAAAACAGGCCTTATATAAAAACAAGATTAAATGTTTCCACTTTACCTGTACCAACTTTCTTATTTGTTTCGTCATTTTTTGGCGGATTCTTTTTCTTGCCATCTGAGCCATGTCGTGCTAGGGATAATCCACTACGTTCTAGTTCCTCCTAGTGGTTAACCTATCGCATTGAATGTTAAATTGGGTTGTTCCTAATTTGTGAATACTTTATATAAACATAGTGATCAAATATTCAATGTCATATGTATTTATATGGAGCGCGCAAAGTATGCTAAACGTTGTAAATTATGCTAAACCTTACAGATGTATTTGCCACCAGACATAAGGCCAATACATACAGTGAACACTTTAATAACTCCGATAACTGTCTATTCTATTGAGTTGGCACATGTCCTACACTATTCCACAATGGTGAAACCCACTTATTATTAGCTGGTACAATAATAAAATATAGAAACTATGAGTTACAAAATATATTAGTTTTTATAAACAATATTACGTTCTTTTCATAACATTTAATATATTAAAATGAAACTATATTAATGTTTCTAATATATTTTTACAAATCTTGATATAAAACTATATTACAATCTCTTGAATTTCTAAAATGAGTTTGCATCGAGTAGATGTCTATCCCGCCTCTGAATAAGCCAAGCAGAACTTGGTCTTCAGCAGTTCCCTGGGACGAAATAACGAAGACGCTTCGGTTTGGATCTTACATGTACCCTATATGCAACAGAATTAACCATTATTAACGAGCAATTTTTTACCATTATGAATTTATAGCACTATCATTTTTATCTATAATCATGATGTGAATATGTGCCGATGGGGTTGTGAATCTATTTCTTTGCACCCCAATCCACAACCCTAACATGCCCTGACGAAGAAAACAGGAGTAGTTGACTATCTCTTTTCACATGAACATTTTGACTCCAGGATGAGAATTGAACCTATATGGTCTCAAAAGTGAAAGGCATGACTGCACGACCGAAGTCCCAGGCCTATGAGAAGAGTAAAACAAGATGGCGGAATTGACGTCCAACATCTATGAAGATCGTAAACAGATCAAGTTACCAGTTCATGAAAGCATATTATTTTTTATTAAATCGAAGTCAAAAGACGAAATTTCGGCACACTCCTTGCAGCTTCGTGCGAACCGCGCAGACAAAAACAATAAAAAGGGACTGGCACTGGACGTCAATTTCGCCATCTTCAATTTCGTACACAGAGCTATCATCGTTGAGTGGAAACGTCGTCTTTGGATTCAATTTTTGTACTAGAGTTCTTAATTCAGATATATATGGAGCTCAATGTCCGAAGCATCGCAAACTGCATTCTGTATTTCTTCGCGTTCGCGGGAAAAAGGTCGGAGGAAAAAGTAGTCATGTACTATATATGCAGGGACATGTTGTATATGATTACACACGATGAATTTTGAAACCTGAGCAAGTCATACGATTGGATAAAGTCCTATTGAGTTCCAAGACTGCATATTAATAGGAACTGCAAAAACGTTGGGATCAAGTTCACAGGACTAAGAATTTTAGTAACTGTGAAAATAAGATGCAATTCAGCAGGTTTTTTGTTTTGGGGGTTGAAAATCGATAAAGTCCCCAATTTATATAAGACTGTATTTATTTCATCCCACCCCAACAAAAACAGCATTCTTATATTAACTTAGGAGATAAACCTTTTTGTGTCTAAGGGTGCCAACAAATGAAATATTGGAGACTTTTCATTATCATGATTATAAAGAGTTCCGCAAATTTCAATGACGTAATTTTCACATTATGTTTCGATGATGGTGCAAGTTGTAACAATGCTCAGGTGAGCATTTTTTAGCTTCTTAATATTTGGCATTTCAAAAGTTTTAGTCTAATTTTATCTTCGTAAGATTTGTAAATTAATAATTCGTCTCTTCGTATTCCAGTCCAGAGAGAGAGAATTAAAGATACGTTTACACGCTGTGATTTGTCGTGTACGGTTCATATTTTGGCGTATGAAAATTACTGCTGACGACACAATTTCTCTTTTTAGTTTACAGCGAAATTTGAAAAGCAACTACTACACGCGTGCTTATTCGATCACATACGTCAGAATACGAAACGTACCCGACATATCGCAGCGTATAAACGTGCCTTAAAACGAATATCCCTATAAACACACTCTGAAATATAACCACTGTTTTAATGTTTTATGGAAAGCGTCAATTTCCGGTATGAAGGTTAAGCAGATGATTGGTTTAAATATGAAAGTGTTTAAGTAAGCAAGATCTCTCATTGGTCCTTACCAATCTGACGGTTTGACATCACTGTTTGACATCTATAGCTTTAATAATTTATAATACATGTTCAGTTCCAAGTATTTCAGTTCTAAGTATTCCGCAACGCCTGCCGCTCAAAAAAACGATCATTATGGAATCCCAAAAAAGAAGCCAATGATTTCCACAGTTATATTTCTTGTATGTT